GTTTTGTTCTGATAGCAAGAATATGTAAATCATTTTGCTCAAAATAATGCAGGCCAGTATGAAGCCACTTCCTTTCCAGAACTGGCAGATGCATAGAATATTTGATACATCCCAGTCCGGTTTCCATTTCTAGGTTTTGTAATTACTGGTGGTTAACTGAACTGTTGATGAACACTTCCTGTATAGAGGATAACGCCATCCTAAGTGTTGGCCCTATCATCAGGAGATTGTGAGCTATATCCCTGGTGATGCTACAGCCATCCGTGGCCGGGTTTCCAAGAGGGCACAATTGGCCTCGCTCTCTGGGTGGGTAGGATGGCCCGCCTTTCTCCCATCCACCACTAGCATGGTGCTAGTCAGCGCAGGGGTCTATTAGCTGACGTAACAGATCTGACCGTCGGCGCTTTCCTCTGAGCGCGTTCGGCGCGTTTGTTCCACCCCCCCCCAAAAAAAAAAACACCGTCACCCTGTACACAGTACAACTTGGTTCAGTCCCTTGTTCAGGCAGGAATCCCACTGCTATACCAGTAAGAGTCCTTGGGCAAGACTACTAATGCTACATTCCTGCTACATTCGCATTCGTAAGTTGCTCAGGATGAGAGTGTCTACTAAATATAGACATTTACTGAGAAAAAACCCAGTCCCTTGCAGAATGAGGAATACGTGAAACTGATTGCTGTAAACATTGTGAATAGTATGTTTACATCCAAGATTTTCACTACATTGCATAGTGGCTGGTAAGCATTGTATTGTTTTTCTGATTGAAAATCACCTTTTTGAGCAGTTTCAGATAGAACTTGTGAACATTTAATTACATATTGTTTTGAAAAAGTTGACAAATATCGAATTATCTTTTTTTAGTCATTATGCCCTGCCCAGGTCACATGTAGGATTTGCCACACTGCAAAAATGATAGATGACTAGATGAATCTAATTTTGAGATTGCATAGATGGTTTATAGATAGAAGAGTTGCCAAAAGGTGGAAATGTCCTTTCACTGTTTTAAGGCTCTGATTTTGAATAAGGCATTGGTACACTAGGTGTCTATAATATAATATCTCTAAATTATTTGCAGTCTATGACCATCCTTTCATCAAAGCTACTCAAAGCTACCCACACATGCACACTTACTCATGGAGAATCCTCAGTAACTGTGCAGTTCATGGTATTTAAGAGCCATCCAGATAAACTGCAGCTCCATTATCATGTTCCAGGCCTGACATTTAAATCAGCCTTTGTCATTTTCACAGTGGGAGGTAGCTTAATGGCAATTGCAAGGTCACTGCAAATACTCTGTAATTTGAAGTGGATTCTTATTACCAAGCACAGCTCTGAAATCACATTAGAAGAGGGGGTTTTGGTGCAATAATGTTTTTTGGGGTTCATGTTTAAAACATTTTCAACTGTTTTGCTCCTGAAATGCACAAGCACCCATTGAGCTGAAGTAGGAAAAAAATGTTCTTAACATTTCAAGCCAGATAATACTTAGTTCTGTATTTCGCTTGCCAAGAGAGCCTGCAGATGCTATGCAAGCGCGAAAAGCGTTTACTGCGATGAAGTGCCATTGAAACCTTTTTATGCAAGGATTAGCTTGTTATACAAGTGCCACAGCTGGTTTCTTTGGAGTATTTTTGGCTAACTGGGCTTTTAGATGGCTGCATATACACTGAAGATTGTAGCAATAAAACCTAGCTTTGTACAAAATCCAGTCCTTGACATGTTTTGTAAATTCAGAACGAAAGGTCTTACAGAGTTCATAGCGGCAAATGTAAAGCAGTAAGACTCTTTGCTTATTTTTCTTGATTTTGAAATGCTTTGCTGTTGTTGCTATGCTCCATTAAATTAAGTAAGCCGTTTAGGCTCTGTATGGATAGCCTAACTTAAATGCTGCCAATGGGCCCTCAAGGCCAAATGTGATCTATTTACAGCTTCAGTCAGGAGGCTTCAGTGGTGCAAATCTGGTCTAGAGGCCATTACTCTGGCACCCAGCAGTGCCCTGCGAATGACAGATATCTAAGTCATGCAGGAGAGACAGTGATGAGGCCATTTTATGGCAAACAGCTTTTTTGGCAGCAGATGGAAAGATGATGGTCATTGATAAAAATAAATAAATAAAAAGCTATCATTGAACCCACCAGATCAGCATTACATACTTGCCATTAAGGCTGTCATGATTACTCAATTAAATGTAACAAATATAGAGGTAAATAATAATTGTAATTAAACAATTCTCTGAAATTGTTTCTCCGACGTTCATTGTAAGTATTTTGAATCTTTGTCAGGCTGTGCATAGTTTTTATGGTTCAGTTAAGTCCATTTTTATTGTTTAGCTTTTTTTAATAACTGGAATTATTCTATCACCTAGTAATTGGTGAATTACTCAATTACTAATATAACATTATAGTGACAGTCCCACCCATCATCTAAAAGTACACCAACTGTTATTGGTTTGAGACTAATTGAACTTGACAAATACACATAAATAAATGTTGGTATAGCCTATAGGTTATCAGACTTTTACAGAGTGTCGGCAGGGATCCTAAGATAAATGTAAGACCTATAGACCTCTGGAGTCATGTCGTCATTCATTAGTCATCAAGCGGCATGCCCCTATTCAGAACTCCAGGTCTGAGCTGTATTTCTCTGACAAAAATGAATGGTGTTTTCATAAATCACCCCGTCATGTCCTTGTTCCAAAGCCGGTACATTTTGTTGTACAGACATTTTACCTCAGAACATCCCTGGATCCTCTGAATTACAAGATCATTAAAGAGTCAAAATATGAATAATTCTACATGCAAGCTAACACTGCTGTGCACTGAACTGGTAACCTCACCAAAATATCCCACACAAATCAGCAAGGTTTGTCTGCTTTGGTAATTAAGAGGCTTTGACAGTTTTAGATTACAGTTTGAGTAGTTGGTGTTAGTGTATGACAGTGTTAAAGCTTAACAGTAGACTTATTTTCATGTGATGTCATTTGAATGCACAGGAGTAAGAGCTTATATGTAGCATTATTTGGATTTTGACTGCTAAACAACCTCATAATTCAGAGGATCTAGTGGCATTCAGTGGAAAAATGTATGCAGGACGAAATGTATTAGGTTTAGGACCTTTTTATTTACCACAGGGTGCGATTGTGGCTATTATCAAATATTGATTCATTTTTCATAGTGAAATGCAGAACTCCTAACATGGGCATGACGCTGACTACAGAATGACGCATGACTTCAGATGTCCATGTTGACATGTCAGGGGTGGAGCTTGTACTTACAGATAGGTGCAAATGAGAAAGCTTGGATTAGGTACAAGCTATAGAGTTTGAATAAAATGTGATATTACAGAAAAATCCGAGCTATCGCTCCCAACTATCATGTGTTAAAGTCATGAATATTTTGATTAATGTGTTCGCTAACTTTTTCATTGAATGAATTCACAAATTTTTCCCTCAAAAGTTACTAGATAACTTGCTGTTGTGATAAGATGTTAGTTAAGCTGCTTAACCTACTGCATTCTCTCATTTCCTTGCAAGTTACGAGTCTGTTTATCAGTTCTATTAAAATAATATGCAGTTTCTGGTTCTATAAACCACTAAAAAGAGTTCTTCTATTGTTACTTGTGACTTGACATTGTGTTGTGACTTGACATTGTAACAACAGCAAAGCCTTTTTTTAGTGCTATATAGAACCATTTTCAATAAAGTTTCTATATAGAGCCATATACAACACATTCTCCATCAATCTGAAGAACCATTTCACAATGCCAAAAAAACATTTAAGCAAATGGTTTCACATAGAACTCATGGTTCTAATTAGAACCATTGCCTTTACTAAAGAACCCTTGAAGAAACATCTTTTTTGGGACCATCTTTTAGTCCCTGTGTTCAAAGATCAGATTATTAGAAAAAGCCAGAAATTGTTTAGTAGATATTTATACAATGTAAAAAAGCAAAAGTTACCTTCTTATTTGCCATCGTTTTATTCAAATTTTCCGTTGCACCTTAAATGTTGCAACAGTTCATTCGACAGAATGTAACTGCTGTAACATTTAAGGGGGAACAAAAAAAGTGAATGAAGGAGCTGGTAACTTCAGCATCATAAACTAAGACTATTTAAATTCAGATTTAAGATATTTTAAAACTTTTTAAGGCCTTCAATTTGTAAAATGTATTTTCCCAGAAATTAAGACTTTTTAAGACCTACAGACACCACGTTTTTATTACAGCTTGACGTTCTTGTGCTGGCTTGAGTTAGATTGAATTCACAGAGCACTTCTGCTGTCTGCCTTTTAATACACACCAGGGAAGCTTTAATTAATGTCTTTGTCTGCACTTTGGACTACAGAGGCCATTGATAATATGTCTGTCTTCTTCCCTAGCAATACATTACCTGAATGTATTCTGCAGTGTCAGGCTGTGTGCTGTGCATAAGTATCTGTGTTAAATTGAAAGTCATTTAAACAGTCATAAACACAGGATGCACAGGCTCCATTTGTCTCTGCTGTTCCGAGGAACTTTTAAATCCCATTATTTCCCGTATCCGCATTCTGGGGATGTTGCTGAGTTAGGGCTGGATGAGTTAACCCTAAAGGCTTCTGATAGTCAATTCAGTTTGTGTCATTCGCTCTTATGCTCTTCACTGTTTTTAATTGAGTTTCTATAGAAAGCTGAATAGAGTTAAGCAAATGTATTCCCAAATATATTAATTACTCATGCATCAAATACATGTTAGAAAGGGAGTGAAATGCAATTATAAATGCACCAAAGGTTTAATTTGAGCTAAAACTGTTGATGATTGAACACATCATAGCGTATTAATGAGCGCCGCGCATTTTAACCATCAAAGCACCATTGATATCAGCACCTGCTCTTTTTAATGAAGCTGATGAATGTTTGACTTTAGCAGCCAATGTTTCTCATCAAATCCAAATAGGCAGTACAAAGGCACTGATCAGTTGCATTCATAATGCAATCATTTCTGTCTTGTATTTTTTATCTGCAGTGTGCAAGCCTGGATTCTACAGATCGGCTCTGCAGACTAAAACATGCAGCAAGTGTCCTCCTCACAGCTTCACCAAAACTGAGGCTTCCACTTCCTGCCAGTGTGAGCAGGGCTATTACAGGATGGACACGGACCCAACCAACATGGCCTGCACAAGTAAATACTCTATACTTCTTTTTAGAGGCTTATAGCACCTGAATTCACAATATGAAATTAAAAAAAAAAAAAAATTGTAGCATTTTGCTACTTTACATAATATATGGATAGAGATAGATAGATAGAACTTTATTAATCCCAAAGGGAAATTGCTGTTATGTAATTACTAAAATATGCAGTTATGTAATTACTAGGGATTCACTGTGATATTACATTTGATATTGGCAGACATTTTTTAAAAATATATATATCGGCATCAGAGAGGGGTTGAGATTAGATTGATATTCCAAACCGATACTTGATGATGTATTTATTGTTCTCCAAAAGAGCAGAATGTTTAAGTGATGCTGGTCTGCTGCTCTAAAATGTCTTCTTTACATTCATTTTACTGAATTTGTAACCCTGTAGAAATAAATGTTATACTTTTTCTTACTCACCTAGTTAGATTTAGTCTAATTTTCTATGTTTCATCAATGCTTATATATCCGCATCAGCAGATAGGTATATGAAAGAAAGCAGCAACTTTGTTAATTACATAGTTAGTTACATAATGAATTACATGTATATTTGATTTCCATTCTGCATCTTACAGGCATCAGTTTGTACTTCTGGCTTTTTTATTTCAATGACAAACAATGTTTAAATTATGGCAGAAATGTAAAGATTGTTTTGTTTCTGCAAAAAAGTCTGTAACAATAATAACCTTTAATCAAATTCAGATTCTAATACAGTATCTGCTCAAATTGACAATGCTGTATCAATTTAAAGCTTTGAATCTGCACAGATTTTTTTTTAGTTTTTTAAATTATTTGCGAGTGAGAATTTATGTAAAATGATGGCATACTTTTGTAATTGCCAGCAATAATTGCAATTTTATGGGTCAATTTAAATTTATTGTGATTATGATTCATGTGCATTGAATTAGGGGTGTGGATGTCCACAAACTGCACATCTCGAACCGTCCTTATTTATTCATGTATATTTGAAGGGTCTTCATCAGGCAAAATTTAGAAAAGTTGCAATTATATCTGAATAAATAAGGGAGCTCTTGGACATGCAGTATACAGGCATCCACTTTTATTGATTGTTTGATCTTTATCTGTGTCCTGCACCTGCACCCATGTTGGGTGGTATGTGCACACTCTTGCTTTGTATGTTGCAATATTAGGGACTTTAACAATCAACAGCTGTCGAGATGGCTAAGCCTATCTGGAATAAATCTGTGAGAAAGCCATAACCATGGAAACCAATGTCACTATTTGAAAAATGTACTACATTAACCAGTGTATGAATTGACTCATGGAATAATGATGTTATCCAGTGTAAATAAAGTCTAATTGGACGTGCAAGAAATGTGAAATTAACCCATTTAAATCTCATGTTTTAGTGACTACAGCAAACTGATGTTTCTGTCTTGGTAATCAAATCAGTGAGTTGAATTTTCTCATGCACAGAACAGCACAAGATTTCTTCTTCCCACTCTAACTGTACCTGCCACTGTCGTTCCTTAAAACACAAAATCAAAGTTTTATACTTGCTAATGTCAGAGTGTTTTTGCAGAACTGGGACGTTATACATCATGAACCTTTGTGTTATTCTTGGATATTTTCCACAGAGCCTCCTTCAGCTCCACGAAACGCCATCTCCAACGTGAACGAGACAAGTGTGTTCCTGGAGTGGAGTGCTCCGGAGGAGACAGGCGGCAGAAAGGATGTGACGTACAGCATCTTGTGCAGAAAGATCAGCGCTGACCTGGGCCATTACGAGCCATGTGGCAGTCATGTCCGCTACCTGCCTCAGCGCACTGGCCTCAGGAACACTTCGGTCATGGTGGTGGACCTTCTGGCCCACACCAACTACACCTTTGAGGTGGAGGCAGTGAATGGCGTGTCTGAGCTGACTAAACCTCTGCGCCAGTACGTTTCCCTCAACGTCACAACCAACCAAGCAGGTAAGTGCAGCGAGCCCAGGTGCTCTGCTGATGTTTCTCATTCATCCCCTCCATTGGACCTGTTTTCATGCCCATATGCTAGACTACTGTCACAATACAGCATTGAATTGACATACATCTGCTTTTTTGACTAAATCTGACACACAAAGCTGTGTGAAAGCTTTCCAAAGTAAAAACTTAGAAAACCTTAAGACAAAAATTGAGCAGTTGAGAAGAATGCAGCCCTCAAAATGTCAAAAAGTATTCAGCTATTCTCCTAAGAAAGCCTTAAGTAGGCTTTTGGGTTATTTGTCATATAGTCATTTACAGCCTATCAAAGACAAAATACATTTTGAATAGGCTGCATCCTTGAGGCTATTTCATTTTTAATTTGCTCAGTGCCTGAAGACAGTAAAGGAAACAAAAACAAGCAACAACTGCGATTTTATAGGTCAGTTTAAAATTTCTCTGATGATGATTCATGTGCATTGAGATACTTAGGTTTGTGGATGTCCACAAGTAAAGGAAACAAAAAACCAGCAAACATTCAAAAAAACATTAGTAAACAAGTGATGGCAAAATAGAAATGTGCATAATAATATGTGAAATGGGCAAAATGTGGCTATTTCTGCCCTTTAGTGTGCTGTTTTCCATGAACCTTAATTTTTCAGCGTTGTTTTGCTCTTATTTGATATGTAAAGGATGTGATCTAACAAAGCCAAAAGATTGTATGTTTTCATTTGTTTGTTTCACTATTTGTTTGTTTGTTTATTTTGTTTGACAAACTTTTTGACATTTGGATCAAACGACATAGCACTGCTCTGAAAGGATCATTTTTACACAGAAGACTGCTGAAGGAAAAACAATTTATCCTAAGCTTTACCTTTTTTCCTTAAGTCAGAAGTGAAAACGTGTCACATTTAAGGCGTTTTCATTCATGTCCCTAGATCAGATTCCTATCTTTTTTTAACATCACTCCTCACTGCGCTTATGTATATCTTTATGGTTGTTATCTGGTGTGGGTAGTGGGTCAACAGCTGCTTACATTTTCTGATAAAATTTGCTCATGCAGGTTCTTTTGAGGCAGAGGTCACTAAAGATGGATATTATATAAATCGAACAGTAAAGCTTGTGATATATCTCCAAAACTTTGGTCTGTCCTAGCATCTTTCAGCAGTCTTGCTCTCTTAGCTTGCTGGATTTTGTGATAGGACCTCCCATACTGCAAAAATAAACAGCCCCCATACAGCGTCTAGGCAGCAATTAAAATGTGAATGTTTTTCAAATACTCAGTGTATTTGTTTATTATAGTAACACTCGGCCAGTAATGTTCAGATTAAATGTTGTAGTCATAGATGGCACTTGGTTCACTCGTTGCTAGTGGAAAACATGCTAGTTTGCAAGGCAAAGCATGTAATTTCCAGACATAAAATAGTCACTGTGGCTGCTCATAACTGTCATTACTACAGTGTTTATTACCACAGTGCCGTTTCAGTGACGATAAGAGCAAAGATAATAATTAAGCAAGCTTTGCTGTGTTTTTGTGGTTGGTTTTACCAGGAATGAAACCCTACATGTTTACTGTGGTCAGAAATTGTATGCTCTGAGCTAATTAATGATGAATTGTAGGAGAACCGACAGGAGACCTAGTTTGAAGTCTTATGTTTATATCAGAGGTTCTGTGACCCCCCACCCTAAACACACACACATTTGTTCCATCTCCTGTGAGAGTGGCTGCCATTGACTTTTCATTAAGGTAATGATGACTCTAATGGATACTGATGCATAATCTGCTTTATCTGAGCCAGGGCCTGTAATTACTTGGGATCGTCCAGAGACGGCTGAGAAGAAACCTGTTGAGCGCTCACAGTGTGCGTGAAGCCTGCCGCGTGTGCGAAGCGGTTCCACTGCGATAAGGCAGCCTTGAAATGAGGGATTTCACATCGGCCAGCTAGGAGACTGATGTGGAATACTGAACACTCACTTTCCCCTCGTGTCGCTGCAGTCAGGATAATCTGTTTGGGTCGATGCATCGAGTGGCAGTCATGTTTCATGTGAACTAGGTGGCTCTAGGCTAAGTGCAGTGTTTGGTAGGTGTTGTAAGACCCAGTCAGTGTGCCGAAGTGCAGGACTTTTGTGTGAAAGGTAGTAAAAAATATTGGAATTCACTACATGGTGCCTTTTCCTGTGAGTGCTGTGACCCATAACACAACAATGGCAAGCGCTTTTCCATTACCTTCCATTTCTTACGGTGTGTACACATCAAATTGTTTTTATTTTTTGTTTGTTTGTTTGTTTTTTGTTTTGGCTGATGGTTATCTAATCTTACTGTGGCTTCATATCAAAGGAAAGCTGCCAAATTAAGTCTTGTACGGAAGTCTTGATCTAGTTTTTGTGCCCCTGATCCCGATCTGAGTTCTTCAATAATAATTATCAGCTGATACCAAATCCAGTATTTGTAGATAATACTGGGCACACTTTAGGTACATTAAAGGTTGTTAGACTAATACAATATAGGTGAGAGAGAAAAGTCAGCTGGGCTGAGAAGTACTTTGAAATGCCTCAGTAAAATCACTTCATTTTTAGTATATGCATAATGTGACAAAATACCTTATTACCTTTAAGCTATTTTACGATATCTTTAATATACTGCATTTAGATATCAAGTTGCTCTAATGTGAGCACAGTACTCGTTTTGTTCAGCTTTCACACGCTGTAACTGTTGGGTATGCAGTATCTGAACTTGGCTTTTGAGATGGTGTGCACTATACTAACATCAGATCGTGGCCCATAGCTATCGCCGAAGGACAGATTTTTCGTGGGTGCCAGGAAAGTTAGAGCCATTTTCCAAAAAAATGAGCTGCTTTGAGAAAAAAGAATACTGAATAGCTGAGAGGCTGCGTATCCTCTTAATTGAAACCGCAACCCTTTTACAGATCCAGTAACCTTAATCAGCACAGTTGTTATTGTGGAAACACTACACAAAAAGCCTGCTTAAACCAGAGAAAATAAACACACTCAGGTTTTAGATCAGAAATGTACAGGCTAACTTTGTTCTTGGAATGGTTTGGTAGTTTAGACTTAATACATTTCCAACTTATAAATAGCTTTTTCTTACAAAAATACAAGTTTACTGTGTGAAGTTAGTGCTGGCTACTGTTACTCTCACTTATTGTTGTTATGCTATTAAAAACAATAGGTTTTGTCTTTTTCGTTTTTAATGCCTTTGATATAGCCACAACAATAAAATATCGAAGATTGTGTTAATGTTTTGCAAGAGAAGACATTATATGCTTGGGAATCTGCACCACAGCTTTATCTATTTAACAATCACAACCATAAAAAAATAAAAAGGAAAAAAGAAATAGTGCCGTCTTGTGCAGCCAGACATCATATTTAAACTTAGACACACAAAAAAGACATCATGCTGAAAGTAAACAAAGATTATGAGACAAAAGACATTTACTCTTTGTGCATCTTAAAGCTGCAGAAGGTGCATTTCTGGCATTTAAATCTTCCAACTTGATTAGCAATCGCTATAGATGCAATCTATCAATGATTCACAATACTGTTGTCAATCGGCTCAAGTCTAATCTCATGTTTTATGCACTATTTTAACTACAGTCAAAAATGTTCATTTTCCACTTTTCCATAGTCTTTCGCTGCAGACATTTAAACTAAAAAAGTGAAATGTGCCTCAGCTCTATTGTGGATGATGTTTCTTCATATCATCTCTAAAATAGCAGTGTGAGTTCCCTTGAGTAAAATAGCCTTAATAAAGGGTCAGAATTTGATTGTAGCTGATAACAGTTGATTTAGATATCCTTTGGCTCTCAAATTGGTTCTTTACATCCTTATGCTATGGTAAGAATGTCCCAGGTTATTCCATTGAACTTTCTTCTCATTGCTGTTAGACTAAGCTTATTGAAATGTTCCACTGTGGGGAATGTGGAGCAGCCCCCTAAGCCCTGTCCCTTCACCAGAGATTTTCTCCACCCTGGCCCCCCTCTTCTACACCGCCAGCGCAGGTGGCACAGGTGCTGCCGAAGCCAAACTATTTATTTCCCTATTTCCCCTCTGCATAATCCATTACACTAAACTCCCAGGCCTTTTACGCAACCTCTGTGAGCAACTGCTGCAGTCTAATTTAGGGTGAAATATTTAACATAATATTTGCACTTATTTCCTTGCCAATGCGTCTCTGTCACAAAAAGCGCCACCGATGCACTTAAGTAGCACACAAAAAAACAATCTCGAGGTGCTAATTCGTTTCGCTGGGACAGTGGAGGTGTGGCTTTTCTCCCCTGAAGAGTCAGCTTCAACATCTGCCTGGCTCATTAAGGTGCTCTCAGATCAACAGAAGGATTAGGCTCCTTAAAACACTATTAATGGTGACAAGCAAAATGATGATTTTGGAGCCCAAGATGCCTGCCACACAGCCTCAGCTCAGCTGACGCAGCTTGCGTGCAGAATTAGCGTCACACTGGCGTGCTAACCAGAGCCTCCGAGGCTGTTCCATAAAAAGGAAGAAGATATAAAGTTGTTTTTTTTCCATTTTTGGCTTTCATAACTAGGACAGTTTGTGTGGATTGATCAAATGCTTGCTGATTTCCAACACTTGAAGTGAACTAGATTTCAAAACAAACTGAATTGCATGCAGGTGCAAGTGATTAGCGCTTGCTCTTTCGCATGCCTCTGAAGTGCGCTCGTATTTCCCTGATGAATGTCGACAGGCACATAAGTGGTGGCATTTGCAGAACTATTCTGTGAGCTTTTAATATTTGCCCATTCACAGCAAGTAATTGACATATCAGTCTGCAAAGACTTGCCACACTCAATATTCTTAATTACTCTTAGTGAGTTTCTTTTGGCAAGCGGTTGAGAACACTCGCATTTTGCCCCAGTGCAGGCCTATCTGTTATCAAATCCTCCGTCAGCAGTTGGAGGCGCTTTGCAGATGGTGACCCAATCAGTCACTTGAATAAGTCACTTATTAGCATTTGTTCCGCCACTCCAGTCTT